AATATTTTTTCCCCCAAAAAACAAAAAGTCATGCCATAGAGGGTTAATATTTTTGCAAGGTACTTTATATAAGGAGGTTTCTGATACAGATGCAGCAGGCTTACCGACACCAAGAGCAGTCCTTGACATCAAAGCGAAGTAAATCATTCAGCATGTTTTTCCTGTTGGGAGGCGCAGAGTTGAAACACTCTGGATGTTGTGCATAAAGTAGGAAACATCGCCTGTCACTCTAAAACTCACCCATTGTCTCCTCCAAACACATATATGGCATCCCTGTACGCCACAACAGTGTGCTTACTCCGTCTGTGTAAAGGTAAATAGAAACTCGGGGTGAACACAGGATTAAAGGAAAAGAAATTAATCATGATCTGTGAGGATGATTGGCAGAAGGTTACCTTGCTCCCACAAACTCATCACATGGAGGGAGTCTTCTCCAGCGGTGTACTGTCTCAAATGGGCCAAAGTTGAGGGTCAAGTACTCCACGCTATCCGAGCAGCTGTGGTCGAAATCAACACTGGGCGCCACTTTGGTTGATTTGCAGGACATTTTTGCTAGCAACTCATCTGACAGAGGATCAGTTCTCAGGGCAACTCATCCGTAAAGATGTCCTCTGTTAACGACATCATTAATGGCAGCCTTCCGCTAATAGAGCTATTAAAATTTGTAAAAGCGTATAAAGTTTCCCAAAAGAGGGGCAAAAATGTTTAAAGAAGTTTTTTTAAAAAAAAAGATGGCACTGGTAGTTCGTACAATATACTCTGCTAGCTAGCTAGCGTTGTTCGGCTAAGCTAACATTTAGAACACAAACTGTTCTAAATGTTAGCAAGTTTCTGCAAGCATTTCGCTAAAATACCTTCCCCATCAACCAAAAACTGCGATAGATATCGATAGTTGCGAGGTATTCGAGACAGAAACTAGCAAAATAACAGGATTATCACAACACGCCCCCTTCACATCCGGTGATGGCGTAACTTCCTGTTGAAGAGAAGCAACTTGCACTTCTTTTTATTTAATGGCGACTGGCAAACAACGTTTCGGTGCATTACTGCCACCGCCTGGAATAGAGTGTATTTCATCGCGCTTTTTATATGTGCTCGATGTGAATCCTTGCTCTGGGGGCATCATTTGTTAGGAAAAGCATGAACAGTAGGGGCAAAAAAGTTTTGTCATTTGCTCCCCTAACACATTTTGTGTTCCTAAGGCATCTCCATTCAGTGAGGAAGTGGTTTTACAGTTCCCTGTAGGTTACTTTAAGAGGATTTGTTCATTGAAACACATTTTGAGTTTCTAAAACTTGTAAAAGAAAAAAAAAAATTCTCACAAAAATTTCAACAATGGGAAGAGACTGTAAACATTTTAGGATTTTGAAGACTAATGCATCTTGCAGTGCAGGTCAAACTTACATGCATGGCCAGATCTGGGTATGTAGGCAGTTGTTCTCCATGTCCTCCATTTGCAGACTGTTTTTCTACAATCGGATGGCTGATTTCAAATTTTTCTTGGACCCCTTTAAGTACTCTAGCAGAGCAATAAGCTACTACAACCTTCTTGCTGAAGGCCTCAGACAGCTCTTTTGATCTTACCTTATGCCAAAATTGATGTTCACCTAACACAAGTTATTTCAGGCATAACATATAAATGCAATTGAATTGAACTGAATATCCAATGTTTATGTTTTAATCTTCTCAAACAGAATTATATGTGACTGGTCTGTTTTTATTTTTACTTTTTTTTTTTTTTTTTTAAAAGTCATATCAAAGACATGGTCCAAAAAGGTAATTAGCTTTGATTTTGTTGATTTTTCAGAGATGTGGTAATTGGGTCTGCCCTTATTAGATTCTAAAGGTTTTTCTGTATCTTACAATAGAATGTGCTGTAAAAAACAAGCCACATGATCATAAGTAGTGGCAGATTTTTATATAGACCATATGGGATATTGCCCAGGATGGCATTAGAACCAGTGGTAGTGGTTTAGATATGGGCCACAAGACAGGATAAACCACACAACTTATCTGTCAGCTCCACCCTAAGCAAATCTTCTATTCATTTTATATCTAAGTGTGGCCAAGCGACAACAAGAAGGGAGCACCTGTCCTCTGGGTGATGGTCTGCAGTTTCACCTGTCTTGGACAGGCTGTACTGAAATGTGAATTTCCCTCTGGGATTAATGAAGTATATTTATGTATTTATACGTTCATTCATCCTCATTAGACATCAAGCAGCCACAAAACAAATTTACCATTTTTACAATAATTTGTTCACGGGACGTTACTTTTCTTTTCAGACATAAATGCTCAGAAGGGGCTGGGTGTAGCTTCTGGGCAGACTCATGCCAAAACAACAGACAAAAGGAAACTATCTAAAAATATTGGCCTACCAATTCAAAATTAATAAATCAAATAAAAATAACTTACCTCCCAAACCATGATAAACAGGAGAATATTGGTGTCAAAATGAAAGGCATACAAACTACTCAAATTATTCTACTGTTGCACAATGTTGAGGATGTTCTGCAGAGACGCAGGTTCAGGTTAAATGCCTGAATGAGGAGGAATAGCAGAGTGCAGACGGCAGGCGGTCCACAAAGTGTCATCTTCTTCTTCAACTCATCCACATCTCTAAAAACGCTCTTTCACAATTGTGGAACAATGAAATCTGTAAATATATAGGATATAATCAACTAATTGCCGCTACCAAAAACAGAAAAAGTTTAATCTAATTTAATGTCAGACTGAGAGGAAGAAAAAAAGTGTTTGTGTGTGTATGTATTTATCTTGATTACCTGTAACTCTTATGCTTAATGTCTAGTTTGTAATTTTTCTTGTTATTTAATTGCAAGGACAAACTGGTTTGTTGTCAGATTTGATACGAACAACAAACCAGTTATTAGTATTTACACCCGTTGTTAGAGTTATTCTGCATCATATAATATAGTAAAGAAGGAAAAATAACATCAGAAGAAACTTTAAGCTTTAAGTTACTTTGTTTTGGTTTGAACATAGAAAATGTTACCTTTTAACTAAATAACAGTAAAATTATAATGATATATTGTTTGTGTCAACGAGGGATCGTATGGAAACCAATAGGTAGCAGATAAATCAGTGAACAAATAAATCTCTTAAAAAGTACTGAAAACAAGAAAAAAAACAACAGACATAGAAACAGATGATTTATCATTAAATGAATGCAAATGGAGAAACATGCGATGTTGCAGAGTAATAAAAATAATATAATAACTTTTTCCTATTGATTTCCTTCTGCCACTGCAGGTCACGACAGCAAGGCTGCATACAATCAGCGATGCCGATCATGTTTAACACTGTTATTCACCATCAAAGCACAGAAGAGAAATTTTATATTTACTTCTCACTATTTATAACACACTGATATAATCGTTCAGCTAAAAATCCTGCCAACACCACATATAGAAGAACATGCTGCTTAGGCCTAACCTTCAGACATTAGAAAGAGAAAAGACCCTAGAGGAGCAAAATGTAGCTTCTTAACAAATATCGTATTTGTAACAAATACCATTAAATACATTTTAAAAAATTCTTGTTTTGATTGCATAAAGCTTTACTTCCTTTTTGGTTCATTTGATAATTTTCTTCATATTATTCAATAGATATCAGAATAACAGGCATTTGATCTGTTTTTAATACTATGAATTATATAATTACCCTGTTTTTAGGCCTTTCAAGTGCTACTCTCAAAGATAACCACAATATTTATACATATTAATTACAACTTAATCAAATTTTGTAGCTTCGCAGAGGGCTATTTCTACAGTAAGATGTTATTCATCTCTTATAATGTTCCTGATATTTTTGTAAGAATGTTTTTGTTAGATTTTTTTCTGTTGAATGTTTGGCCAGTTTTACCTTTTAAATGCAGCAGAGTCAGATTTAATACTTGTACATTCATTGTTTGCACGCCATATTTTTGCCCTTCATTCAGAATCCTTTCATCCAAGTTCAACATTTTCATCAAGAAGGACAGTTTGATATTTATGAGTTAATATTATAAACCATTCTTTCCATGTTCCTTTAAAGATTTAGTCGGTATGGCAACAATTATGATTTCATCAGAGGCTACTCAGTTCGTTGTGAACGTATCCACTCCCTTTCAGTGTTTCAAACGCTGCAAAGTTTTTGCTGTTCTTACAGAGTGTGTTCGGTGTAGACTGTGACATCTGCCAACTGTACTCTGATATACTTCTCTTTTTCTTTTAATTGGTGATGTGGCTTCATGCTCAGAAGCTGTGTCACCAGTTGAGGATGTTTCGAACGCGGCCCCACAGCTTGGTGATCCACAGGTTCACCCCCAGTTCTGTCAGGTACTGAATCTCTGGCATCAACATCTTACGACACAACTTCCGATGTGTTTTGTTCACATCCTTCTTTAGGTTATAGCCCATGATAGACTTCTCTCCTATTGGCTGCCACGGCTGCATGTCCGTCTCCTGGATGCTGCCGGCTTCCACTGCCTGGCCTCCCTCAATGCAGATCGATGCCATCTCTTTGTTTCTTTTCCTGAGTTCTGCCACGTCTTTGGCCATACGCAGCCGTCCGTAGGCATCTACCTTCTTCCAAAATGTCTGGTTGAAGTACTGGTATAGTTTCCAGTCAATGGCATTCCACTCAAGAGCCCTGGCCCTCAGCTCAGGGGTAAGTTTAGACACAGTGGATCCCTTGCGGGCATTGAGCTTGAAGAAGAGCAAGTCATCCATCTCCCAGCATAGAGCATCTTTGAGCAGGATCAGCGATTCCTCAAAGTGTTCCACCAACATGACCAGATGGAAGCGCTCCGAGATGAATCCGATTCCCTCGTCTACCTGTGGATTCTCCAGCTCCAGAGTGTTGTCAAATCCAAAGTCAAAGAACAGCAGGTTCTTGAGGTAGAAGGAATTAAAGCCCTCTGGGTCAAAGTAGCTGTGGGGGTCAAGCAGGAACTCTGTCAGCTTGTCGTCACCCGGTATGGTCCAGGTAAAAGGCACTACCCGGCCAAAATAGTGGAACGATGACTCAAACAGTTCTGCCGGGTCTCTCAGAATGGTGATGTAGGATGTGTCTAAAGGAAGTAGTTTAGCCACTTCTGGAGCATTGAACCGCATGTGATTACAGATTATGTTGAAGCACATTCCAGGTTTGTAGTCTTTGACCTGGGAACGCTGGAAAAGGGACGGATAAAAGAAGTCATTCCTGCTGTTGGGAAAGGCAAACTGAAGATGGTGTTTCTCTCCAAAACGGAACAGGATGTTGAGGAAAGTGCTGCTGGCCGTTTTGTGCGTCTTCATGAACATTATGTCCACTTTAGGAGAGCATGACTGGCTGGAGTTTTTTTGGGACATGTTGGTGGATGTTTTAGGGTGAAGATGGGACGGACGATGGGCACAGGAGTACGGCACTGGGATCCTGCAGATAGAAAACAAGAAAAGGCTGAAAGGAGGAGATATTTGGAAAAAGTAACTATGCATACCCCCTGAATCTTTAGATATTTTGCTACATTTGAAACAAAAGCTTCAATGTAATTCATATTATGTGACTGACCAATATGGTTATCAATATAAAATAGCTGTGGTAATGTATTATGTCTCTACCAGTCCATAGAGGCTGAAATCCTTTTAAAAGAGCTCAAACTCAGTCAGACTGGGATTAAAACATTGATGCTGACTATTATTTAAACTCCTGTCAGGTGTAGGATCGTTATTCTGATCTGCTAATAACGGTGATTGACTGGGCTGATCCGAAGCCCAACATTGTGTAAAACATTTTACACAATGTTTTCTTCTGGAAGGTAAATCTCCATCCAAGTCTCAAATCATTGGCAACCTTAAACACGTTTCCTTCAAATATTTCTCCTTTTTAGAGAATTGAACAGCAGAAAAGTTCAAATCTGCTTTGAACTTTTCCACAAATTTATCCCTGACATATCTGATGTTTTTTTGTTGCTCGTAGTGATGATATTTGCTCTCTAATGTTCTCCTACAAACCTCTGAGACCTTCATAGACTGCAGTTATATACTAAAATCAAACTACAGGTGACGCTTTTTAGGCGACAACCGGTTGCAGCGGATTTCATTTAGATGTAACAGCATAAATACAAATACTAGCATACTTCACAATGAAGATCTCATTTTCTTCCACTTTACAATTATATGGCTCTTTTTGTGCAAGTCTTTCAAACTGAATATAGACAACATAGATTCGATTACAAGGTTGTAACATGGTAATATGTGGGAAAAGTTCACTCTACTGCCAAAATATATATTGAAAACATAAATTGATTTAGAATCTATGTAAAATACTCTTTACAGATGCATTTTAAACTTATTAAAACTTGATGACTTATATGAAAATAGTCAAGATTATTTTGTGGACAATGAATAAAATAAGAGGACAATAAAATTCTGGAAACAGTGAGGGAGTGCTCAACTCCCTGGACTATAGTTAAATATGTCACACATCATTTTACACACCATCTTGAGTGTTGCAGGAAAATGGTTTTGATTTTAGACAATGTTTTCTTAAAAACTACGAGACTGAAGCACTGCAAGTCTTACTCAGGTGGGTTGAAGTGGGCTTGTTGGATGGGGAGACAGTAAAGCAGGATCATGCAGCTGGTTAGAAGTGTTCCCAGGATGAGGCCTTTGCACATGGACCTCCATTGTCTCCCTTGCTTGCCAGCCATGGTCCAGCAGGTTCAAAGTCTACCTTAAAGAGGCAGAATGCAGTTTTGTCATTTTCATAACCTAATAAATCTGTTTTCTTATATTCTCGTGTTGCAAAAAGCTTGGACTTCAAACTCGTTACTACTGTTTGTTAAGTGGTTACTGCTAATAGGCGATAAGGCCAGAGAACACAATGACGATGCTTTAAATAATTAACTCAGATCATTCCCCAGGGATTTAATTAGAAAGTCACTCCACATAGATTGCAATCTCGGTTCTCTGGTTTCGGATCGTCCCGAGACAGAAACATGACCGACTGGAAAAAGAAAATTGCATTGTAATAGCAGCGACAAAGAGAGCAATACGTTTCTAGCTTTTAGAAACTTGACTGAGCGGCTGGTTATGGTTTAGAAATAAGTCTAATAGAGGAATGATAAAAAGCAACAAATCATTCACGTTGCAAATAGCAGCTCTGCACACAATTATCTTGTTGTTGACTGGAGTATCGCCACGGATCGTAACTGAAGCTGCAGGCGAACATGAGCCGACATCTGGGACATGAACTTCCAATTTACATTTCCATATATCTGCCTTTGTGGGGCTCAAGCAGGAACTCTGTCAGTTTCACATAACCAGGCATCTTTCTGCTGATGATGTTGGGAGTCAAATTATATGAGGTGACACTGGCTGCAGGTTTTAACTCAGTGGTTAAAAAAAAAAAAAAAAAAAAAAATTATGGTGCTTGTGACCTAAAGTGTAGAGTCTTGTGTTCCCTATTAAATAATAAATAATGCACTACTGTGGAAAATGATATATGCTCTCTCCTGCAGACTGAGGTAAGATGAGCTACCTGCTGACTCAGTAGAGCACGCCTGAAGATTTACAACTTTAGCTGACCCGATGCTAGCTCGACACAGAGCCATAACATGGGGAATACACTGTAGACATGGGAGGGGTTTATTTCCTGACTTTATTCTCTTTGTTTTATATTAAAAACCCTTGTACCAGAATGAGTTAGTCTTTTATGTTTCGATTTTATGTTTTAACAAAGGTGTAGCTACTGTTTAGATGTTTTCCTGGACGTATCACAAAATAAATCTCTACTGAAGATGGTTTGGTTAATGTGTTAAAAGCAAATACTGACGCTGAATTGCAATTTCTCTTTTATTTCATCAAGGTGAGGGGAATTTTGAAACCTATTATGGTAACATTATGACTAAATAAAATAATTTAGGCCAGTTATTTACCGCGGTGGAAAATGAAATGATGCTCTGTCACAGCTGAATCTGGGGAACTTGTTTATCAAAGTGCCACATCACAAGTTTAATAAACATTTCATACATACACCTAGATCCTAAAAATGTGGTTGTCTGACAACGAGTAACAATATTTTCTCTTCAAATCAAAGAAGCATTTAACATAATATCTAGAAAATTATGCACAAAACAGAGTATCCTTCAAATTAGCTGTACAGACTGCTACAAGAGATCCTTCCTGTCCTCGGCCATCAGACTCTACAACAACTCTTTAAAAGAACAGTGAATAATATGATTTACTATAACATTTAATTTCCCTTTAGGATCAGTAAAGTATTTTTAAAATTGAAATTAATTCATTTGAATTCATTGTAGTTTGTGTAAATTGTTGAGAAGTTTTTCTTCCCTGGAGAATTTCTTAATAATGGGGAGAAAATTACTGTCAGTCTTCATAATGGTGTGCTTTTAAACTAAAAAAAAAAAAAAAAAAAAATCAGGGTTTTTGACTTAACTAAGAACTACAGAACATTCTCGGCATAAATAATTTTCTTCTGTTTTGGAAATCAGCTAGTTTTAAAGTAAAACTGTTGCTGCCATGCTTATCATGTAACTTACCGTACTATTGTTAAAAGTTGATGATGTTCAAACTGGCAGAAATTATTTATTTCTCTTTTAGTTGTTATTCAAGCAATGGAGATTAAGATCAATGTTGAGATTTAAAATAGGTCCGGGTTTAAACCATGTGTGTCTATAAAGTGAGAAACTTTGTCCAGAGTTACAGCTACTCTACCGATCTAACCCAGTGGATAACCAGTGAGTGATTCCAAGTTTGAAGCATTTCTGACAAGGCATCAAAGATAATTATAAAGTAAAAATATGCTGTTCATTCACATTTAGTACTACATTGGGTCTGTTTTTTAAAAAAGTCCCCAGAAATTACCTACTTCTGATTTTTTTTTAAAAGTATTTTAAGAAATTTAAACATTAGTATTTCAAAACAACAAAATTCAATTCAAAAATTCACATTCAAAATTCAAATTCAAAAATATTTTCTTAATCCCAAAGGGAAATTAAATGTTGTTAAATAGAGATTTGTCTAGTATGCCTAGGTGTACACAAATAAAAGGAGGCTAAGATCAACATTTCTTTAAGAAATCACATCCATTTTCTGTGCAATTACATGAAAAGGCTGTAAATTATCAGGGACATTGCAGTCTTTTTACAAATTACACAAAACCTCAGCTTTTAAACAAAAATCCATTTAGAACATATATCTCAAAACATAGGAGAGGAACTTCTTACCTTCATGCATTTACCCAATGAGAAACGAGTGCACAAGACAGAGCATTCTTCAAAGTCGTCCTACTCCACCATGTTGTCCATCCATCTCCAGATGATTCGTGGAAGTCAGTCTCCTTATTGAGGCTCCTCGTGTGTCTGATCTTAGCACGCTCATTCTGACTCCTGGGATCGTCTCATCACACGCCGCAGCTCCCATTCATCTATTTGCTGTTCCTCCTCTCCTCTTTCTCCCCCGTCACTCTGCGTGCACACCTGATGCCTCCGACCTGTGCTGCCTCCTCCCTTCACTTTCAATTCCAAAACTGATCCTGCTGAATAAAGCACAGCAGGGAGGCTCATGTAGCCACCTGTGACGTCAAAGTGTCTCTGTCAGGGGACATGAACAAGTCGGTGAGCATGAAAAAAAAAATAGAAGGAGGGCAGAGAGGGAGAGCAGGAGAAGGAGAGGGAGGAGAGAGGCCGTATATAGTCCCTATTCTGTGTCCGCACACAGAGGGCCATTGAGTGTGGACACTGAAGTCTGAGCTGCATGCTGACAGGAGGGGTGGAAAAAGGCATAAAAAGGACAAATGCAGAAATCCAAAGAACAAAGGCGCTAATTGTTCCAGCTGATCAAAACTGCACTGTCTATTGTCTGAAATGCTTATTTAGCAAGCTGGAGCTCTGCATGTGGTAGGATGAATAAACACAGTACGGCTTCTACATTTTGCACAACAGGACCAACAAATTACACGAACAAACACTTCCCTTTTCGTAATGTCAGTAAGGTTTAGAAGCTGGAATCCTACCTGCAACTGCAAGTGCCTGCTGTTTAATCCCGTTAGGAAGTCAATATCGTCCTGAAATATTTTAGCTGATAGGAGTTTTCATGTCCCATGAACTGCTTCGCATTTTAAAGACATCACAGTATTTTAAGATTGTATGATATTACAGACCAAAAATAACTGTGAAATGAAAGGAAAAACATACATTTAAAAAAAAGAAATAAAATTCACAATTTGAAAATCTGAAAATTGCATTGTACATATGTCTTTATCCCCCTCTTACTCTGTGCACCCTAATTAAAATTCAGTATGACCAATTGCCTTCTCGTGCCTTCAACACACTAGAATCCATGTATTTGTAATTTAATGTCAACATAAACACAGCTCTGGTAAGGTAAAGCTGAAAGTGTTTGGAAACCTAGCACTGCACATTACCCTGAATGCACCATCCACACACTGGAACATGGTGGCGGCAGCAGCATCATACAGTCGGAAGAGGAAAGCTGGTCGGAGCTGAAGGTAGATGGAGGTAACTGCAGAGCAATCCTGAGCGACGGATCAATAGCTAGGTTTACCTGGAAGCAGAGAGTGATAACTACTCAAATCATACAGCCAGAGCTACAAAAGGATGGTTTGGATCAACACGTATTTATGTATTCGAATGGTCTGGCAGCCCAGTTTATTTATATAGTGTCAGATATACATGTCGTCTCAAGGCACTTTACAAAAAATTCAGTTCAATCACACATTTATTCCAATTTACCAAACAATATCACTTAGTTATTCACAGGACTTTAAAAGTTTCTGTCTAAGGAAGCCCAGCAGACTGAATCGAGTCATTGACTTGCTGCATTCACTCCTGCTGCCAAAGCCCAGAATTAAGTCTAATTGAGAGTCTGGGACAAGACCTGAAATTTGATAATTACAGTCACTCCGCAGGTAAAAGAGCTGGAACTCATTTTACAAAGAACAGGGAAAGATGTACCTCCTTTCATATTTTCCTTCTTCTGTGATGTGCAAAAGGCATAGGCCACGTTTGTGGAAATGCTGTTCCTAATTATTTCTTATGTAAGACAGTAGTATTTCAGTAGAGGATATAAAATGAGCATTCCACTGCGGCTGACGAGTCTGTTTGGCTCTGCGTGGCAGGATGCAGCAATATGCTGCCACAATGCCTCGCCCAGTGCAGTACACCCCGACTCCATCCCCCGTTTACCGAAGCTGGGATCTGTAGAAGACAGACTCGATCTGTGCCGGAGCACAACACTGCTGGGTTTGTTCCACTGGGAATGCCTCTGCCTTCAGGCGCCCCCACCAAGTGTCAGGTCGAGACTCGAGCAGGGTGGGCATGCGTGGAATGCGGAGCTGGGTGTAAGCAGCGTTAGGAAGCTGGGGAGAGTGGAGTGTGATGGGCAAGCCCACTGCCCTCGAGATCAGAGCTGCTCATCAGAGGGTGGAAGGCCTGATTCCTATTCGTCATCGACGCCCACCGCTGCTGGCGTAGACCAATCAATGACTGAGTCCCGCAGCACAAGCATAGCGACCTCAGGCTCGGCCCACTGCTCCAGTGGGAACTCTTGTGATTTATTGCATCTTCTCAACATCTGTGCACAGCTGTAGGAGGCAAAGGAGCAAGACTGTAAACCCATGGCTTATTTACATAATTAATCATTTAGTACAGGCATCCTACACACGCTTTATCAGATTCTTATTTTGAAAAAGTTCTATAAATTTATTTCATCACAAGTGCCGATTCATCTTTTATTTTCCACACAGTTATATGCAGAATAACATCAGTGTGTTAAAAAAAAAAAAAAAGTGAGTAAAGCTTAAAATTTTAATAGCTTTTATATCCATCCAGCCAAATCAACTGGGAACGCTGCTCAATCTATTCCCTTGCAGATCATGATGTAAAAATGTATTGTCATCATTCAACAGAAAGAGAGAAAAAACTTTATTAGTCGGGTCAACAAAACAGCAGTGTCTGGATTTATTTAAATTGAAAAACAAACTGCAAAAATATAAAAAAAAATCTTGAGGACGTAGCGTTCCTTCGAATCGATTCATCTACAAACAGCAACTTATGAATGTTGTCTCAAGGCACCCTGATGAATGAAGTTCAATTAATGAAGTCAATTACACGTCTATTACATATTCAGTTGGATCCTGGGCAGAAAACAATAGTTCATTTTTTCACTGAACTAATATTTAGCTGCATTTCCCATGTTTCTATGAGCTGCTTCTCACTTGTGTTGCCTGGAACTGAACATCTTCTGGAAATGGGCCGATTTTCCAGCTCAGCATTACATTGAATTTCACTTCACAGAACCTCTGGAGTTCTTGGGTTTGCCTCAGAAACAACATATTTTATATTAAACCCAAAGGTTTTCTATTGGGTTCAGTTCATGAAGTTTATCTTGTCGATTTGGAGCCAAAATGTTTCTTGCTTTGTGGTGTATTAGGCTCACTGTCTTATTGGGGAAAAAAACAGTTTAATAGCATCTCCTCCTTTAGTCCAAGACAACAAAACACTAAAGCATTTTGATCTATTTATTCTGGTTTGAGAAGAAAACACCTCAGTATTTTTTGAGAAGCACCTTATATTATTGTTTTCCATTTAAGACTCCTCTGTCAGACTAAATTCAAAAGTTTCATCAGTCCAGAAAACGATGCACAGCTTCTCTCCATGTCGGGCAGCATCTTCACATTTTCTTCACCAATTAGACATTTGAGGCACCTACAGCCTATTGTGTGGCTTCACATCGTTACAATTGTTTTAGTTCTAACTGGTAAATGAAAACCTTTTTGCTTTCTTCTAATTACTGGCAGTCTTCAAAATATTTGATTCACTAAAAGTTGTTTTCAGTTTTTTCCCATTTTTATTCAACGTACAATAATGAATAACTGGGATGACCCCATTTTCAGTTTCTTTTATGCTTTCCTTTGTTCTTAAAGAACGATAAGATGTCGGTTTTTCTAAAGAATGAACGACCTCGCTGCTTGAACTCCACTATGTAATTATTTTCCACCTTATCGCGTTTCAAATAACTCACAATCTGCAGCTTGCAGCTCGTGACTGCAGAGTCTGTCGTTTTTGTATTACTGTTACAACTATTAAGCATTTTCTATGTAGAAATAAACATGCATTGGAACCACGATGTGAAACGGCCGCCACCAGATAATGAAAAAAATGTAATAAAATTACAATTGTAAAATAAGCAGATCTGATGGAAGTTGAATAAGTTTTTACTTTAAAATGCAAATCACTTCAAACAGACATTAAAATGTGGCAAATGTTTTACAATGTAGAGTAAGAAAACTCAAAGTTGACAACAATTGGCTTTAAATCAATAATTACACAGTCAGCATATGGAGCATCCTTGATTTCTGTATAAATGTATGCATGAGGCCAATGCAACCAGACACAGAGGTGGCATGTGCTTGAAGCGGAGAGCTCACAGACGCAGTTTCAGGTTTTATGAAATGCCAACTTGCCCCACTAACTCATAAAGTTTTATACATAAAATCAGGTTCAGACGAAAATCATCAAAGGAGTTATTTTCTTGCTTTTTTCTTCTTGGCTTTCTCAGCATCATCATGTGCTTTCCTCTTGGCAGCAAGCTTGTTTGCCTGTTAGAGGAGATTGATTCGTGTTAATGAAAAAGAGAAAACAACGGCTTTACAAGAATTTCAGGGCCGTGAACTGTAGGGGTCATGGCCAGGTGTGGGTGCGATATGAACAGCAGTCAGATAGTACGGCGAGACATTCCTAGATAAAAACTCAGTTTTAACAGTAAGGTACACAAGAGATAAAAAAGCAGAACAATGTTTCTTTTTTTTCACAAAGCTAAACAGTCCTATCAACTGGAGAATTTAAACTATGGGGATGAAAAGCACACTAAAACTCACCTCTCTGACTTGTCTCTTCTTTCCAAACATGATCTTGTCATACAGGTACTTCTCCTTTTTCTTCATCATCATGATGGCCAGACGTTTTTCCTCTGCCTTCTCCTCCTGCTCCAAGCGAGCGCGATTTTCTGCCTTCACTTTTCCAGGCGTCACTTTAACTTGAAGGGACTAAAAGGCAGAGAGAGGAACATGTCAGAGAATCTGAAAACGTTTTCTGAGAAAACAACAAAAAAAACAACAAAAAAACAAAAAAAACAGAAGGACAAACAAATATTTCTTACCTTCCCCTGAGATCTTTGCTCCTCCATCTTTTTGAGGTTCTTCTCTTCAGCCTCCTCTTCATCATCTTCCTCCTCTTCATTTTCATCTTCTTCCTCCTCCTCCTCCTCTTCTTCATCTTCCTCTTCATCTTGTTGTTGAGCTATGCCAGAAAAAAACAACATGTATCCCTTTAACATGATAAAACAATAGATTGTTGGTTTTCAGTCCGTATTCAACAGAAACATCTCACATTAAAATGAGTTGAACTGGTTTGAGGGATGGTTTGGATGTTTTTGAAGGGATGTTTTGTGGAAAAAAAACAATGATTATTAAAAATAAAAACTTTGCTCCCTGTGATAGAGAGCCAAAAATGGATCAGAGTGCCACACAAAGTCGGTCCAGGGGCCACAAATGGCCTCCGGGCCACACTTTGGACAAAACTGCTGTTAAAATAATCCTGTGGTTTTCTGAATCAAACAGATCTCATCGTGTACAAAGGTAAACAAAAACCTCTAAAAAGTAACAATTATATATTTTTTTAAATCCTACTGTTCCTACAATTTGAAATCAGGAACGCAATAATCTCCACAATATCATTTAAATACCACCGCTAAAGTAAACCAGTCTTCTGATTGAGGACATGCATTTTTACCATAATAAATTATTCTAACAAGGGCATTTGGGTAAAGTTTTCCATTTTCATTTAAAATCTTTGGTAACACTTTATTTGAAGGGGGTTGAATAAGACTGACATAACATGTCATGAACATGAATAAGCCTTCATGAATATTTATGACTGATTTCATTAACCAAGAAATCATTACTGACATAAATTTGTTATAAAAGTATTACTGATTGCACTTTAAAAATTAGGTAACTTTATGTTATTAAAGGTAAAGTTTAAACAGTAATGATTTCTTGGTCAATGTCAAGTTGTCATAACAAAGACATTTTGAATAATGTCAACTTTGTATTAAAAGTGTCATAATTT